CTCTCACACACACACACTCACTCTCACACACACACTCTCTCACTCACTCACTCACACTGCTTGTTTTATTAGTCTAAATAATTATTATTAGCTGTAGTATAAAATGTAGAACATTTGCTCATTTACTCTCGTGTATGTGGTATTCTCGGCATTAAAATAAATGATTACATACTGCATTGTGCACACAAGTGACTAATTCATGCATAATGTTATTTGTAACGTTCCAGGTTAATGTAAAGCAGTTTCAGGGTTTTCTAAACGGACAGAACAGTTGGTATTAACATCAGTCTTAAGAGCAATTCCTCTCATTTTGTAAGTCATTAAATATTTGAAAATGCTCTTGAGTGACGTCACGGTCACGTGGGCAGCGCTCTTCCCAGAGTTCCCCGCTCCGCGCATGCGCGCTGTCCTTTCCTCGTTCGGCTGTGGATCGACTCGCATCATCTGATGTAAGGCCCTCTGATTAAACCACTTATTGCGGCTTTAATGCGCTTTAATGCCGCACGAGCCGCCGTGAGAAGCGCTGCCGTGTTCGGTGTTCGGTTCCCGAGCAGTTTGCCGAACTCTTGCGGTCCACCGTGTAGCCGAGAGCGCGAGACACCACGCGGGCTGTTCAGCAGCACGTGCTCTGCTCTTTAATATATCTATATATCTATATATACACTTTTTGTTCTCAGTGTTGATTCTTAATACTGTAATGTTACAATTAACATTTCAAATGGTTCCATTTAGCGTCTACTATAATTGTTACATTTAAAATTGTGATGAATAGCATTTAAAAGTATTGCATTTTAAGTTTAAAATTGTTGCTTTAACATTTAGAACTTTATGCTTTTAACGTTTTTTTAAAATGGTAAACATTTTGCTTTTAATTGTAAAAATGGTTACATTTAACATTTAAAAATGGTTGCTTTTCTTTATTCTTTTGGGGGTTCGACTTTTAAAAAATGGTTGCTTTTAACTTCAAACAATTGTTTTAACTTAATTTTTATATTTTATAATGTATCATTGTAAAATATAAAATGTAAAACTGTTTTAACATTCAAAAATGGTTGCTCTTACCTTTAAAAAAAAAACCATTGTGTTAACATATTTAAAAATTGCATTTAACTTAAAAAAATAAATGGTTGCGTATAAAATGTAAAACAATATATTTTTATAAATTTAAAACATTTTGCTTTAACTTTAAAAATGGCTGATTTTAACGTTAAATTGTTTTGGGATCAACTTGTTGCATTTAACGTGTATTGTTTTTAGCTTTAAAATCTTGCTTTTAACTTAAAAAAAATTCTTGTTCAACATTTAAAAATTGTTGCTTTTATCTTAAAATTGTTTAGCATTTGAAAATGTTACAAATGACTTAAAATGGTTACAAATAATGTTTAAAACCAGAGCTGTGCGATATTGAAGAAAAATGTGATATGCGATACGATATCGCTTAAAGTGTGTAAAATCAATTTAAATGATATTTTAAAATGAAAATGATATAACCAATTTGTTTCACATTCTCTCTTGGAAAAGAAAGAGTCGCTACAACTTCTGAAAGTGACCAGCAGTGTTTTAGCAGTACTTAAAAAGTAACGTCACAAATCAGAAAATGTCATTTTAACATCAATGTAAACAATTAATGACACTAATTTTATATCATTGTAACTTTGCTTTCCGCACACATGAAGTACTTCTGCGTATACCACAGCAAACACTATAGCCTGAGAAAGTTCTAACATGACGTTCCAGGTTAATGTAAACCAGTTTCAGGGTTTTCTAAACGGACAGAACAGTTGGTATTAACATCAGTCTTAAGAGCAATTCCTCTCATTTTGTAAGTCATTAAATATTTGAAAATGCTCTTGAGTGACGTCACGGTCACGTGGGCAGCGCTCTTCCCAGAGTTCCCCGCTCCGCGCATGCGCGCTGTCCTTTCCTCGTTCGGCTGTGGATCGACTCGCATCATCTGATGTAAGGCCCTCTGATTAAACCACTTATTGCGGCTTTAATGCGCTTTAATGCCGCACGAGCCGCCGTGAGAAGCGCTGCCGTGTTCGGTGTTCGGTTCCCGAGCAGTTTGCCGAACTCTTGCGGTCCACCGTGTAGCCGAGAGCGCGAGACACCACGCGGGCTGTTCAGCAGCACGTGCTCTGCTCGCTAATCTGCTCTTTAATATATCTATATATCTATATATACACTTTTTGTTCTCAGTGTTGATTCTTAATACTGTAATGTTACAATTAACATTTCAAATGGTTCCATTTAGCGTCTACCATAATTGTTACATTTAAAATTCTGATGAATAGCATTTAAAAGTATTGCATTTTAAGTTTAAAATTGTTGCTTTAACATTTAGAACTTTATGCTTTTAACGTTTTTTTAAAATGGTAAACATTTTGCTTTTAATTGTAAAAATGGTTGCTTTTCTTTACTCTTTTGGGGGTTCGACTTTTAAAAAATGGTTGCTTTTAACTTCAAACAATTGTTTTAACTTAATTTTTATATTTTATAATGTATCATTGTAAAATATAAAATGTAAAACTGTTGTTTAACATTCAAAAATGGTTGCTCTTACCTTTAAAAAAAAAACCATTGTGTTAACATATTTAAAAATTGCATTTAACTTAAAAAAATAAATGGTTGCGTATAAAATGTAAAACAATATATTTTTATAAATTTAAAACATTTTGCTTTAACTTTAAAAATGGCTGATTTTAACGTTAAATTGTTTTGGGATCAACTTGTTGCATTTAACGTGTATTGTTTTTAGCTTTAAAATCTTGCTTTTAACTTAAAAAAAATTCTTGTTCAACATTTAAAAATTGTTGCTTTTATCTTAAAATTGTTTAGCATTTGAAAATGTTACAAATGACTTAAAATGGTTACAAATAATGTTTAAAACCAGAGCTGTGCGATATTGAAGAAAAATGTGATATGCGATACGATATCGCTTAAAGTGTGTAAAATCAATTTAAATGATATTTTAAAATGAAAATGATATAACCAATTTGTTTCACATTCTCTCTTGGAAAAGAAAGAGTCGCTACAACTTCTGAAAGTGACCAGCAGTGTTTTAGCAGTACTTAAAAAGTAACGTCACAAATCAGAAAATGTCATTTTAACATCAATGTAAACAATTAATGACACTAATTTTATATCATTGTAACTTTGCTTTCCGCACACATGAAGTACTTCTGCGTATACCACAGCAAACACTATAGCCTGAGAAAGTTCTAACATGATTAAAGGCAAGTGAACCGTCAAATACACAAGCAGAGATCAAATAAACCGTAGTATTCAGATACAGACATTTAATAATTAAGTGTAAAATAACACTGCATAGTGTTCACTATGAATTAAATTTAGAGTAATCTTTGTTATAGCTGTTTTGTTGTTTGAGTAACATTAGTGACATAATCAGCAGCAGGTATTTATAGGCTGCTGTCCCTTTAAATCCCACTGCACGGATCCAGTGTAATGATACACATCCGATTTCTTTCTCAGCGGTTTACATTCATTTAAAGCATTACCGACTGCGTTTACGAGAACGATCGTCGAGACGGGTGCAGAAACAGACATGATTCTGTGTGTACGTGTCTGTTCAAACACGAGGAGATGCAAAAGACGAATAAACCCGGTGTTTGCGCGCCGTCTGAAACGCGTCGGGTGTCGAGACGGCAAAGAGTTGTTTTCTGCAGCTTACGGCACTTAACTCTTTTTAACGTCAAGCAATTCTCTGCTATATGCGTCGAACTAAAACTTTGACCTTTTGCAACGTTTTGATTTAAGTGGCCTATTATTAAAATGATTCAGATATGGCTCATGCGATATGCATGTTGCGATATTTCGATATATCGTGCAGCCCTAGTTACAACTAACATTGAAAGTGTGGCATTTAGCATTTTAAGGTGACATATCATGAAAATCTGACTTTTCCAGGTCTTGACTTGACTTTGACTTTTTAAGTGCTATAATCAGGTCTCCGGTGCATCTCCCAACCAAGGAAACGTGAAAAAGATGAACCCAGTAACTCTGTTTTGGGAAGCCTTTTTCTGCAAGCGTCTGAGAAAACCAGCGCGTCTGATTTCTCTCGCTTGGTGACGAGGCAAAGGAACTCATTATAATATTACCGCCCCTTAATCTGTAAGTTTTCACCCACGGCGCCGTCATTGTGTTTTCGACAGCGACAGCGGTGTACTAGTTCTAACGCCATGGCGAAAGTTTGAGCGAAGCATGCTAACTGTTCTGTGTTTGGCTGCAGAGACGAGCACAGAACACTGTTTAGAGTCCCAGCCTCAGAGACAACAGAGCAGAGGATTTATTGATGTATTTACTGTATATTGCTGCTGCCACACAGATCTAATATAAACATGTGATTTATTTCCCAGCTGTTTACCTTCACAGACATAACCAACTGTTTTTGTAACTCATGTGTGTTTTTAACTTAAACTTGTGTGTGAATGAGAACAAAGGGGCATAATATGTCTCCTTTAAAGTTGTGTGTAACATAATTGTTGCAGTAAGAATGCAGTGAGGTCTGACTGAAGCGGATTTGGTTTGTGTGTTTGCAGCTCATCATGCAGCTGTTCCTGCGCGCTCAGACTCTGCACTCGCTCGATGTGTCCGGACTCGAGACCGTCCGTGACGTCAAGGTGAGCCTCACTGCCATGTGCGGGAGTCTGGTGATGAGATGTGATGTGATGATATGAGATGTGATATGTGATGTGAGGAGAGGATGTGATGTGAGGAGATGAGATGTCGTGTCGTGTCTGCAGGCTCGTGTTCAGGCTCTGGAGGGTCTGTCTGTGGAGGACCAGGTTCTTCTGCTGGCTGGAGCTCCTCTGGAGGACGATGCCTCTCTGCTGAACTGCGGCGTCACTGAGCACTGCACAATCGAGGTGGTTGCTAGACTTCTGGGAGGTATTTAAAAAAAACTATAAGTATTTGTAATTTATATTTATGCTTTATTCATTTTTTTAAAAATATTCTATGAACAATGTAATCAATTGTTAATATTAAACGTTTTTAATTATTTTTTATTAAAATAAATAATCAAATATATTTGTATAATTATATAAAAATAATATATTGTTTTTTAAAATATTAAAAAAAAATTATAAATACAAATTTATTTGTTAATATTAAATATAATTATTTAGTATTTAAAATATCCTATTTTTTATATTTTTATAAATAAAATAATCTAATGTAATATCAAATATAATTGTCAATGTTTTAATATTTATTTTTTATTTACATATTTAAAAAAAATGTATTTAATCTTAAATTTAAATATTAAATGGTATGAACAATTTATTTAATATCTAATGTACTAATCTTTAATATATGTATTTTTATAAATAAAAATAATATTTAATATTAAATCTAATTATTGATATTTAATATATATATTTTTTTAATATAATCTGGATGGTCTCAAAGGCTCTGCTGATGTTTCTCGGGTTGTGTGATTCTCATTAGTTCTTGTGGTTGATGTTCAGCTGTGGTTTGTGTCTGTGTTGATCAGGTAAAGTCCACGGATCTCTGGCTCGTGCCGGTAAAGTAAGAGGACAGACACCCAAAGTAAGTCATTTATTTAAATGCGTTTCCTATAGTCTCTCTGACAGAAGTGTTGCTGATGGGCTGTGGATCTGTCTGTCTGTAGGTGGACAAACAGGAGAAGAAGAAGAAGAAGACTGGCCGCGCCAAGCGTCGCATCCAGTACAACCGGCGCTTCGTGAACGTGGTCCCCACCTTCGGCAAGAAGAAGGGCCCCAACGCCAACTCCTAAACCTGTCCAAACTCAGAGACATGCATTCATAATAAACATTCTCTCTGAACTCCAGCTGCTCTGCTGTGATTATTCCGCATAGCTAACATGCTAAATATGATCTATGAGTCTATGGAAAAATTAAATTAAATGCTGTTCTTGTAGTTTATAATGAAAAACCAAACCAAAAAGAATCATGTAATTTAATATTAACCACCAAACTTGCATTTTATAGCTGTGTGATACTTGCATGAGTATGAAATATATATCCATTATAGTTATCAAATATAATAATTTGATAGGTTTAAAGTATACAATGAATACGCTCGCTTTCTACATGCATCTATGAAAAATATATAGTGCCATAAAAGTGTGCTTTTATAATTTATTTAAAAATTGTAATTAAATGTAATGCATAAAAATGTATGTATAATACAGCTAATTATTTAAATTGTAAAAAAAATTTCAGAGATGTATTTTCACAATTGTGACAATGCAGCACAAAAGCAGTGTTGAGTCGCTGGGGGATATTTGTAGCAATAGCCAACAATACATTGTATGGGTCACAATTATACATTTCTCTTTTATGCCAAAAATCATTAGGATATTAAGTAAAGATCATGTTCCATGAAGATATTTTGTAAATGTCCTACTGTAAATATATCAAAACTTAATGTTTGATTAGTAATATGCATTGCTAAGAACTTCATTTGAACAACTTTAAAGATGATTTTCTCAATATTTAGATGTTTTTGCACCCTCAGATTCCAGATTTTCAAATATTGTCCGATCCTAACAAACCTTACATCAATGGAAAGCTTATTTATTCAGATATTTCACAAAATTGACCCTTATGACTGGTTTTGTGCTCCAGTCACATATTTTCTCATCTCTATCTACATGTCTATATCTATAGAAATATAATAATACAATGTGACATTTTAAATAGTTGCATGTACACAGCTGTTGCTATAGAGATGTGTGTGTAACAACAAGACATTGATCAGGGTTTGTTTTTTATTGGAACTTTACAATCATGCAAAACCAGTCAGAAAAGTTTTCCCATCAGACTGAAGAACAACGTCTCCATCTCAACACACTCGCGATGCTTCATCAATCAATCGATGGAGACGAGCTCCACCTCAAAGATCAGCTTGGCGTTCGGCGGGATTCTGGTGATGAAGGTTAAGAACTCATTCATCTGTGATCTGCACAACATCAAACACTGAGCGGAAGAGTGAAGGATACTTGGAGTCGGGAAGACCTTTCCTCCCATACGCCCATTCAGCCTCGATCTCCAGCCGCGCCGTCTCGCCTTTACTCATCCTCAGCAGCCCCTCATCCCACTGCGCACACAACTCACACTTTACTACAACACACCATACTCATCCTCAGCAGCCCCTCATCCCACTGCGCACACAACTCACACTTTACTACAACACACCATACTCATCCTCAGCAGCCCCTCATCCCACTGCGCACACAACTCACACTTTACTACAACACACCATACTCATCCTCAGCAGCCCCTCATCCCACTGCGCACACAACTCACACTTTACTACAACACACCATACTCATCCTCAGCAGCCCCTCATCCCACTGCGCACACAACTCACACTTTACTACAACACACCATACTCATCCTCAGCAGCCCCTCATCCCACTGCGCACACAACTCACACTTTACTACAACACACCATACTCATCCTCAGCAGCCCTTCATCCCACTACGCACACAACTCACACTTTACTACAACACACCATACTCATCCCACTGCGCACCCAACTCACACTTTACTACAACCCACCATACTCATCCTCAGCAGCCCTTCATCCCACTACGCACACAACTCACACTTTACTACAACCCACCATACTCATCCTCAGCAGCCCTTCATCCCACTACGCACACAACTCACACTTTACTACAACCCACCATACTCATCCTCAGCAGCCCTTCATCCCACTACGCACACAACTCACACTTTACTACAACCCACCATACTCATCCTCAGCAGCCCTTCATCCCACTACGCACACAACTCACACTTTACTACAACCCACCATACTCATCCTCAGCAGCCCTTCATCCCACTACGCACACAACTCACACTTTACTACAACCCACCATACTCATCCTCAGCAGCCCTTCATCCCACTACGCACACAACTCACACTTTACTACAACCCACCATACTCATCCTCAGCAGCCCTTCATCCCACTACGCACACAACTCACACTTTACTACAACCCACCATACTCATCCTCAGCAGCCCTTCATCCCACTACGCACACAACTCACACTTTACTACAACCCACCATACTCATCCTCAGCAGCCCTTCATCCCACTACGCACACAACTCACACTTTACTACAACCCACCATACTCATCCTCAGCAGCCCTTCATCCCACTACGCACACAACTCACACTTTACTACAACCCACCATACTCATCCTCAGCAGCCCTTCATCCCACTACGCACACAACTCACACTTTACTACAACCCACCATACTCATCCTCAGCAGCCCTTCATCCCACTACGCACACAACTCACACTTTACTACAACCCACCATACTCATCCTCAGCAGCCCTTCATCCCACTACGCACACAACTCACACTTTACTACAACCCACCATACTCATCCTCAGCAGCCCTTCATCCCACTACGCACACAACTCACACTTTACTACAACCCACCATACTCATCCTCAGCAGCCCCTCATCCCACTGCGCACACAACTCACACTTTACTACAACAACACTCCGAAAAACCAATACAAAAATGACAAAACGCTACTAAATTACTAAAAATGGCACTAAACTTAAAATGAAAACGGAAAATATAAAATCAAATTCAAAAACTACACAGATGTTAAAAAAACAAAAATAATAAAAATGACGAAACAACTAATTTACTACAACTTTTAACTAAACTTAAAACAGATTATATATATATACACATTTAAAAAAATAAAATATAGAAAATAAAATCTAACTTAAAATTGATAAAAGAAACTAGACATATACAAAAAGAAAAAACTAATAAAATGTCCAAAACATACAGCTAAATTACTAAAACTTTAAAATGAAAATAGAATACAAAAAATCTAGTTAAAAAAATAAAAACTATATATACAAAGTAAAAATGACAAAAAACGTAATTACTAAAACTTTTATTAAAATTAATACATAAAATTAAAATTAAATTGTAAACATTTAAAGAAAACTAATAAAAATGCACACAACTAAATGACTATAAATTTAAAATTAAATTAAAAACAGAATATAAAATTATAAAAATTAATAAAAAGCTATATAGACTAAAGCAAAAATACTAAAAATGACCAAACAAACAAACCTAAAGTAAAAGATTAACTCAAACTAAAATGCTGACGGAAAGTATAAAGCAGTCACCCCTCGGATCACTCGGCCCATCCCGACCTTGAAGCTCAGCGGTTTGCTCTGCTTCTTCTTCTTTGCAGCTGAAAAACAGAAGAGAATCAAATAAAAGATCATTTACACCAACTACTACCATCAGATAACCAGAAAACCTGAGTGCTGGATTAATACAGTAAACTAAATCTGAAACCATCAAAAAACATTTTTATTACTCAAAGTTAACAAAAAATACCTTCAACTCATTTTATTTCAGCAAGTTGCAATGCAACATTTCTCATTTTCATTTAGTTTAACGATGTACTAAAATAATGAAACTGAAAATGAATAAATACCGTACAGAAAAATGTAAAAAAATAAACTAATAAGAAAGACAAAAACAGCAAAATTACAAAAACTAATTTAAACTGAAACCGGAAAATATATTCACTTCAAAAAATTAATAAAAACTGTATAGTCATGTAAATAAACTAATAAAAACGTCTATTTATTCAGTGATTTATATATTTAATATTAAATATAATTTAAATTTTGATGTATTTTACATTTTTTAAAGGAGGTCCATTTTCCACAAGTTGGTTTGTTTCTTTAGGGTCTTCATGAACTGTCTGTAACATACTTTGGTTAAAATTCCTCAATAGTCGTGTAAAACACCCTTTTTCCCCGTTTCGGTGCATGTCTCTTTAAATGATAATGAGCTCTGCTGACCCCGCCCCTCTCTTCCGTGGCGATTTGCAAATAATCATAAGAAATATAAAGTGTGGGATTCACTTCTTCTGGAGGCGCAGCTGGATCAAGAACAGAGTTTGAACTTTTTAGCAAAACCTGCCTTGAATCGTCCCTCGTTCAGAAAGCAGTCAACAGGCTGAGGGCGGAGCTATGCTAATACGGGACCATCTGTCAGTGGCCGTGGGCGGCGCCTGAGCAATATGATGTCATACTGCTCCGAAAATCAAAACGGCTTGATAACTGAGACTGTTGATTTTTGTCACTGTAGGGTGCTTGTGTCCACACACTGCTGAGACACATTTATATGCAAACACCACGTAAACGAGAATTCAGCATCAGACGTCCCCTTCATATCAGGAGCATTTCAGTTCATCTTGATGGTCTCAATTACTCGGTTGATTATTTTTTTAAGATGATGATCTAATAAATAAATCTAATTAGAAAAATTAATAAAACTATATACACATTTAAAAAATAATTATAATAATAAAAATTACAAAAACACAACAAAATTACTAAAACTTTTAAATTAAAATGAAAACAAAAATGAGGACCCCGCCCCTCTCTTCCGTGGCGATTTGTAAATAATCATAAGAAATATAAAGTGTGGGATTCACTTCTTCTGGAGGCGCAGCTGGATCAAGAACAGAGTTTGAACTTTTTAGCAAAACCTGCCTTGAATCGTCCCTCGTTCAGAAAGCAGTCAACAGGCTGAGGGCGGAGCTATGCTAATACGGGACCATCTGTCAGTGGCCGTGGGCGGCGCCTGAGCAATATGATGTCATACTGCTCCGAAAATCAAAACGGCTTGATAACTGAGACTGTTGATTTTTGTCACTGTAGGGTGCTTGTGTCCACACACTGCTGAGACACATTTATATGCAAACACCACGTAAACGAGAATTCAGCATCAGACGTCCCCTTCATATCAGGAGCATTTCAGTTCATCTTGATGGTCTCAATTACTCGGTTGATTATTTTTTTAAGATGATGATCTAATAAATAAATCTAATTAGAAAAATTAATAAAACTATATACACATTTAAAAAATAATTATAATAATAAAAATTACAAAAACACAACAAAATTACTAAAACTTTTAAATTAAAATGAAAACAAAAATGAGGAAATATAAAATCGAAAAATTTTTTTTAACTATACAGACATAAAACAATACGTTTTTAAAAACAACGAAATAATTACTATAACTAAAATTAAAATAAAAAATAAAATAAAAAGACATTTAATATCATGTCACAGACATTAAAAAAAGCTAATAAAAATGGCAAAAACACAACTAAATTACTAAAAACTAAAATTAAAATAGAAAAAAATAAATGCATTAAACTAAAAACTATAGACAAATCAAAAACATTACTAATTAACAAAATATGAATAAAAACTGAAGAAAGAATAAAGATTATTGATAAAGCCATCACCAGACTGCAGCAGTGGAATGTGTTGCATTTGTGTGTCAGATGCGTGTTGAGGTTAGCGTGTCATATGTGTGCTGAAATTAGCGTGTCATATGCATGTTGAGGTTAGTGTGTCATATGTGTGCTAAGGTTAGCGTGTCATATGTATGTTGAGGTTAGCATGTCATATGTGTGTTGAGATTAGAGAGTCATATGTGTTTTGAGGTTAACGTGTCATATGCGTGTTGAGATTAGCATGTGTGTTGAGGATAACATGTCATGTATGCTGAGGTTAGCGTGTCATATGTGTGTTGAGATTAGCGTGTCGTGTGTTGAGATTAGCGTGTCATGTGTGTTGAGATTAGCGTGTCATATGCGTGTTGAGGTTAGCGTGTCATATGCATGTTGAGGTTAGTGTGTCATATGTGTG